GGGCCCGCCCCCCGCCCCCCCAGCTGGCCCGGCCCGGGCCGCCGCGACGGGAGGACAAAAGAGGTGCCGCCCGGGGCCCCCCTGCTCGGCACCTCCTCGGCCCCCTGGGCAGGTGCAGGGCGGGGGCGCACCACGTCCCCATCTCGAGGCCCCTCCTTGGCCACCCTTGCTTGAGAATCTCTGAGGACCCGTAGATTTCTCGGAGGGCAGGGCGCAGAGGGACCCCGGGCTCTGACCGGCTGACTGCCGGCCTGCGGACCTGAGGCGGGGGCGTGGCTGCCGGGCGCTGTGCCCAAGAGGGGCCCGCCCCAGCCCCAGCCCGGAGCGCGGGTGATCCAAGGCTGCGCGAGCTGAGAAGGCAGAGCCACTGGCTCTTTTGCCCAACGCTCCGCTCCTCGCCTCGCGGATTTCTTGCCCATTCGCAGCGGATCTTGTCACTGCGGAGTTCCCCCACACCCCTTCCCATCCTGCAGGGGTCCCAGCCTCCAGGAGGGCTTCAGGGATTGCTGTCACCCCAACCACCAGGAGGGGTTGGCCCCTCCGTCTGGCCTCCTGAGTCCCTCACACAGGGCACCCCAATCCTTCCCCCAAATTAAATACTAACCCAGGTCATTTACATGCTGTTAGCGTGCCACATTTCTGCCCCCTCCTTGCCAATCCAAATCTTTGAGAGCAGAAGACACCTCTGGAGCCCCCCAGCCTCCCCTCTCTGGTCAGACTAGGATGCCCTGTCTGTGAAATATTTCACCTCCCAACCTACCTCCCCAGCTGTGCCCTCAACCCAGCTCCTGGGCTCCTGGGCAAGATGGGTCCCAATGCCAGGGGCGGAGATCTCGGACTTCTGCTAGGGGTGCCAAGAGCCAGACACGTGAGAAGATGGGGTGGGGCATGGTAGGATGCAGGTGAGGCCCCACCGTGACCTTTGTACCCACACTGGGGGACCACAGGTCACTGAAGAACAAGACTGAAGGCAGGGAACCCCTTCCTGGGTCCTCTGCATCCCCAGGGCCGCAGGGCCGCTGCTGGGGATGAGGGAGCTGCCTCTGGCTTGTGACAGCACCCCCTCCAGCTCTATTTTAGGCCCAGGAGAGGTGAGAAGGCGATTTCCCAGGAGGCACTGACATCAATGCTGGGAATGAGATGACTCCCCCCACCCCCCACCAACCACCTGCCACTCCAGACCCAGATGCTCAGCACCGCTGAGCCAATTCTTCCCTCACTCTGAAGACATCTTCAAAACCTCCTCCAAGATGTAGGGCGAGGAGGCTCCTGGGAATGAGGGCCTACTACGCGGTGTTCCCTGGAAACTCGCAATTACCCTGGAGAGAGAGATTGTACTCCCCACTTTATAGATGAGGAAACTGAGGCTCTAAGAGGCTATGTGAGCTTCCCAAAGTCCACACAGCTGGTCGGTGAGAGGCATGTCCCACACTCCAGGGTCCCACTCCCCTTTGGCCACCCCTAGCCCTCTTCTACCCTCTATCTACGACCAGAAGAGACTAGTACATCTGGTCCCTCAGCCCCCCACTCACGCTGTTTGGCACTCCAGACTCCAGGGTGACTCCATCCTGCCCTCCCCCACTCCATGTTCCAGGTCCCTGTAAGCCCTGACCAGCCGTGCCTCCCAAAAGACTAGGTGGGGTTTGTCATTTCACAGTGGAGGGCCCTGAGGCTGTAGTTTGGACCCCTCCACAAGTCCAAGACCACAGAGCAGCCCAATCTGTGCTCCTGGCCTCTTTAGCTGAGGCACATTCCAACCACATTTGTGGCCCTGATACCTTGGACTTCCTGTTGGGGAGACCTGATTGGCCCTCAGAGTGACTCTTCCCTGGTGGCACTTTGCGCCAGTGCCAGTGGGGGTTCAATCGTATGGCTCCTCGGCCCCCACAGACACCCATCCTCCCTGGCTCTGAGCAGACTTGGCTAGACACCTCGCCTCTGCCTTGACCACTCCCACTCCCCAGCCCCTGGGGTCCTGCCTCCCCTCATCTTGTGCTGTCTCAGCTCAGCTTCAAGCTGCCTCCCCAAACAGGAAGCTTGCTTCAATTACCCTCACTTGCCTTCCCTCCTGAGGTCAGAGGCTGTCTCTGTCCTCCAAGTGGTGGCCCCTCAGCAGACTAGGGCTTCATAAGAATAGGGACTGTCTCCCCCGTCAGACCTGTCCCTTGAAAGCAAGGGCTGTTGTCTCCTCAGATCGGGGCAGGCCTGCATCTCCCCCTCAAACAGAGGGTTCTCTAGGGGGGTCCCCACCCCAACTCCATGGCTACACTACAGTTGGCTCCTTTGGTCTTTCTGCCCATCCCTGAGGCTGGTGGTCCCAGTTTCTGCTGTCTTGATGTTGCCTTTGCTGAGGCAGCTGTGTGAACCTGCTTAGGGGGTGGGCTCTGGCCCCCACCTCCAGCCCTCCCACAGGGACCCCACCACCAGGAGGCCTGGGAAGCGACATGATGGGCCGGGGCCTCCTTCCTCCTGTAGCTCTTCCTGCCCTTCGGCCAATTCTTCCCTCAAATTTTCCTGCACAAGGGCCAAGCTGGGCTGAGGCAGGGCCAAGACTGTGTCTCGGCAACTGCAGGTAAGGGAGGGGTGCCGGCTGCCCTGGCCGTGGGGCGGCACGATGGGCAGTGATTCCTGCCAGTGGAGGCTGTCCAGGCCCTGTGCCCGGCCTTGAGGCCTGCAGCACACACCACACCAGTGATGGGGGCAGGAGGACGCGGTGGGTGAGGGCGGGACTCAGGGTCCACGCTGGGGTCCCAAACCTGGCTTCCCCCTTTATTGGCTGTGTGACCTTGAGCAAGTCCCCTGGTCTCTCAGCCTTGGTTTCCTCATCTGTGACAGGGGTTAGGAAAGCGCTCCCTCACAGGGCTGCTGAGGGGTGAACGAGTGGCTGAGCTCCCACACCCAGGACGGTGTCTGGTGCATGGAAGGGGCTTGGTCCACCTGGATCCGCAGGGTGAAAGGTGCTGAGGAGGCCAGCTCTGCTCTTGTCCGGGACCCAAAGCCCCTTTATGGCTTGGGGGCCTCAGGGCCTTCTCTATGCCCAGCGCAGAGAGAGACCATGCTTGATAACACGATGGTGAGGGGTGGGGAGGGGGGAAATGCTATGGCATTCGGACAGGAAGTCCATCCTGCTTCCTCTCCGAGGCTCCTGGCATCTGCATATCCCGAGGGAAACCCACTCTCCTCCCTCTCAGTTGTCCTGAGTGGCCCCATCTTTAATCTCTGAAGCTCTCAGGCCTCAACCAGGGTGGAGTTGGAGTCACCTGAGGCGCCAGCATCCCAGGCTTGTGCGGCATAAATATAGTCGCACCCCTAAAGGACCCAACTGCTCCTTCCCTCCCAATGCTAGGGGTCCCTGGAGAACCGGCCCTTGAGAAGGGGGGGACCTGGGAACAGGGTGTCTCACAGTGCCCCTTAGCAGCTCAATCCACAAATTTACACTGGAGATGAGGATGCGGGTCACATGGGGACATCACAAGGCAGATTAGTGAAAATAAGCTCTAGGAGGGAGATCTCACAGGTGTGTGTGAGTGTGGGTAATATATGTTAGTTTGTTGAGACAATGTGCCAAGCTCTATGCCAAGTACCTCACAAACTATCTGATTTAATTCTTGTGACTTCCTAATGAGGTAGCAACTACTATGATGTCCAATTTTTTTAGATTAAAAAAACTGAGTTTCAGTTTGGCAAAAGTCAGAGTTTAGTGGCAGGATCTGGATCCGAACCTGTGTGGCTCTAAAGCTCATGCCCTGAAAGATTATACTCAAGGGTTCCTGGAGAATATGGAACCCGTGCCTTGAAGAATGGGGCGTTCTTGCTGCCACTGAGGGGCTTTCCAGGGCAGGGAACAAGACCAGGAAGTGGAACTGCCTATGGTGGGTTTGTCTGGTTGGCTGGGGGATTTTTGGTGGAGGGAGGTGGAAGAGGGAACAAGGAGATGACGTGTGAGGGGGAGGACGCTCAGGAGGGAGAGGGACTAGGACTCCAGACTGGATGGATTTGGCTCAGGGAGCAGCGAGAGGCAGGAGTTAGAGGATGCCGGGAGGAATGCAATGACAAAGTGGAAGCCAGGAGCTGGAGTCTCGGATGGAGGCGGAGTTCTCAGAGATGCTGCGTTTGTGGTGGTGGCACGATGGGGAGGCATATGAGATTCATTGCAGGTCATGGTATTTTATTATTGGAAGGGCCTTTGAAATCATCTCATCCAAGCCCCTCACTTATGAGGCCCAGACTAGTAAGGGGACTTGCCCAGAGTCACAATGTGACTTAGGGGAGTGGCTAGATCCTGCCTTCCACCCAGCAGAACCCCATCCTCACTCCTGTGAGATTAGAATTCAGAAGGGACTCGGGTGGAGCTACCAGTTGAGGTCACATCTGCAGAGAAGTGCAAGATCCACAGAGAAGAACTGAGAACAAAGGTCCTGGGACCCCATCTGGGGGCCGCAGTTAGGGCTGGTGGGCTCTAGTGGTCAGGGAGCTGATTCAGGGCGGACATTTAAGGCCTGTGCTGAATGAATGGACAAGAGTGAGCCAGCGACATTAAGGAAGCGCGAGGGGAGGCAGGAGAATCAGGCCAATGTGCGGTGCTGGGACCGAGGGAGCCAGGTTCCAAGGAGGTAGGAAAGGAGAAAAGAAACCTGACTTTGGTAATTAGCAGGCTACCCAATGATGGTGGAATAGACAATCCTGGTGGAATGTTTCAGGCAGAGCCACTGCGGAAGGAAGTTTGGAAGGGGAGAAGGTGAAGACATGGAGGCAGGTACAGACCACAGAAGTAGCCAGAGGACAGGAGGGAGCCTTTCCCAAGCTGCTCAATCAACTCAAGTATTTTCCAGGATGGAGGAGCATCAAGCTTTCAGGCAGAGGGGAGGTGGTGAATCTGAGAAGGAAATTGACAAGGGTGCCCGGGTGGGCTGGAGAGCACAGGGACAGCGTGACTTTCAGGGGAAGGAAACAAAGAGTAAGATGATGTTGAAGGGGGGCTGACAGCAAGATGAGGCAGTGCTTACTGAGTCTGGGTCAAGTCATCTGGAGAGAGGGAGGAATGGAAGGGGTTTTGCACAGTCCTCATGTCAAGGAGCCACTGAGGGGCAGCACCTATCTGTCCTGGGTCAGGTCTCCGGGTTCTGGATTCCCTGCTATCTGGAATCTACAGCCGGAAGCCACAATGGAGGAATGGCTGAGGAATGTTGTAGCCTTGGGCTTTGGCCCAGCAGAGATGTCTAAGGTCACAACTGTTGAGATGGCAGGGGAGGGCCATGGCAGCTGATGTGAGGTTGGGGGAATGGGTCCTGGGCAGATGGTGACAGGGGCATCAGAACCTGGTGCCACGGCTTTGTGTGAGCAACAGGTGAAGGTGTCAGAGAAGTCTGAGGAAGGGGTGAGGGGAAACTTTTCCTCACCCAGAGGGGTGGCATCATGGGGAAAGCAGTGGGGAACGAGGCATCCCCACATTGTCAGAAAAGGAAAGATGTACCCAGCAGGGCCCAGGGGAAAGGGAGAGGGCCCCTAACAGGAATGCCTGCTGGGGCAAAGGAGTGTTCTTGGTGGTGATGAGCATGCCCTGTGCAGGTGACCACTCACCAGGCAGCAGGACCCAGTAACCAGATGAGACTGGGAAGGGGAGGCTGGGCAGGGATAGATGTCACCCCATCCCCCTCAGATGAGGCCAGCTGGAGGGTGGTGGCACTCACACATCCCGTCCTGCTATGTGGTTATTCCGTCCGTATCTGCTGGGCCTTCATGCCTGCCTTGGGTCACTGGAGGGCAGCTCAAAGGCGGACACACTGCACTCCAGCCCCATCTCTGCCATTTGTTATTAACAAGTTTATTTACATTTCCTGAACCAACATTAACTGTGAAACCTAACAGGAATGGGATACAAAGACCAAACATGACTGACCTCTAAGGAGGGTTGTACACACAGTTGCTCTACTTCCAAACTAATAACTTCGGCCCTCACCCACAGCAAGGCCCCCTTCCTTCCTCTGAAAGGAGACACAGAACAGTACCAGGCTTCCGGTAGCTTCCACATTTAAAGAGACAAACACACAGAGGCATAGAAGGGTGAGAACCACAGTACAAATTGTAATAAAAAAAAAAAAGTGGCCAAAGAATCAATAGCAAACCCATTTCTGCCTCTAGATTAATGGCTTGGCTGCAAGAAATGGGGGGAGGTCCTTGGGGAAGGAGAGGGAAAGCGAGGAGGGAAAAGGGTGATGTGGAAGTTGGCAGGTAAGATACTGGCCCTGGAATAGCAAGCTCTGGGTGGGCAGCTTGAGCTGAGGAGGCAGAAAAGAGCTGAGAGGGGTCCCTAGAGGGGTCTCTGGCCACATCCTGGGCTCAGGGGGAAGGTCAGTGCTGGGCCCCAATTAAGTGCATGGGGGAGGGAGCTCTGTAAGTGCCGCAGCCCGAGCCCCTCCTCTGCTTCATATGTTCCTGAGGATCTGCACGCAGGAGCGTGGGGGGCTGGGGGAGGGGACATAAACACAGGCATTTCGGAAAGCAGGAGAGACCACATGCTTGTGGGGAAGGAGGCTGGGGGTGGGGAACACCAACTAGCCCTCGGCTCTGCAGAGGCAAATGCCTTCTGAGGCCAAGAGGCCGGGCCAGGACTCTTGCTGCTCCAGCTTCTTGTGGTCCCTCCCTGTGCCAACCTCTCTTCTGGTGTGGGCAGCTGGCCATGGCCGGACAAGCCCTTTGTAGCCTGCTGCCTGGTCAGGAACATGGCTGGAGGTAGGGGAAGGAGAGGGCAGCCCCAGCCCAGACTCTCTTGGTCCTGCGCAAAGATCTGGCGGGCAGGAGGACTTTCTCTGTCCGCTCCACAGAGCTTAGCGTGACAGCTGCTCACTTGGACCTCGAAGGCCAGGCCTGGGCCTCCTTCTGGCTTTTTTGGGGAGATCCTGGGGTTTTGCTTGTCCTTGTATGCTAGTCAGCCCTGGCCAGGTGTACAGCACCAAGCAGAGGTATAACTTGTATTTGTGGCCCTTCAGTCTGGAGCTGTCTGGCCCCATGAAGAGCTGAGTACCTTGGGGACTCATAGGAACAGCTCTCTGCCTGCATTGGGCTGGGGTCGGGGCTGCGGCTGGGAGACAGGGAGGCAGGGCACTTGGAGAGGCTGGGGGGCCCGGAGCCACCGGGAGCAGCTGTCTCCCCCACTGGCTGGCATAGGGTGGGGGAGAGAGGTAGATTCACCCTCTGTGGGCCCCCCTTGGGGCTGTGTGCTGGCAGCTGAGTACAGGTGGGCTGATGGCTGGCTGGGAGCTGCAGGGCAGCTGGGGAGCTGGCCAGTCTGCTGGGATACAGGGCCAGGGGCTGCGCACTCAGAATCCTCAGACCCTGGGGGCCAGCCTCCCCCAGGCCAGGGAGGCTGTGTGGCCCAGAACTCTGCTGGTCTGTCTGTGGGCTGCCAGGGCAAAGAGTGTGGGAGGGAAAGGCCAGTCTGTGGGTGGCACAAGGTCAGGAGGGAGGCCAGGGGCCTGGACTCATGGCTTGGAAGCAAGAGGGATGGAAGATGCCCACCACTGGTTGTCCTGGTGCCGCAGGGGCTGGGGGCTCTTGGGACAAAAAATGAGGCCCCCGGTTTCTTCTCGGCATTGCCACTGGGGAACTCAACCTTTCGCTTGTGGCCAATAAGTGCCAGGTCTGGGCCAGAAGAGAGGTCTGTAAAACTGGAGCTGGTCAGGAGGCGCTGGTGAGCAGGGCTCCTGGGCACTGGTGTCCCTGGGGGGTCCACAAACACATCGACTGACCCCCCTAGCTCCTGGCAGCTTGCTGCTTGTCCAGGCACCTTGTCCATCCCTGCAGGTTCAGCCGGTGCCTTCATGCTGCCCACTGTCCTCTCCCGCTCTGGGGTGCTTGGTGTCTGGCAGCTGTCTTTGCTCTTCATCCTGGGAGACGCTGCCCCGGGATGGGAGGGCTGGCTGGCGGGTAGAGTCTCAGGATGGAGAGAGTCACAATCAGAAGCTGGGGAACCTGACCGCCTGTTGGGACAGAAACACCAGTGAAGTGCAGGCTCAACTCCAGAGCAGGCAGCAAGCTGGGACCCTCCTGGGCCGGGGCTGAGGGCAGGGAAGGGGGGCACGCATGGTGCTGAGGAGAGGGCTGCCCACTCTGGGGCGCTGTGAAAGGCCTCCTCTTGGGTCTGAACCTGCAGCAACAGCCAGTGCTGTGTACACTTCTCTTGGCTCTGCAGCCTGTGGTCAGGGCTGGCCAGGGGAACAAGTTAGAGGCTGTTCCTTTAATGACTTCACAGAGGAGGCTGTGCCCTTTGGCAGCTGGAGAAAGCAGCACAGAGCCTGGTTGTCCAAGCTGAGCCCAGAGGCGGATATTTGGGGTGAGATGTGAAGCCATAGCCCTAGGTGGGACAGAGTCTGCTCTTGGCAGGCAGCAGGGGGAAGCTGGGCTTGGAGGGCCCTGGAATTCCCACCAAACCCATGCAATCCTTCCTTCTGGGGGTGACATCTAGAGAGGGAGAGCAACCTTGCTGTTCACCCATCTGGGAGGGACCCGGGAACTACTCCTCTTCTAGCTGGTCAGAACTGCCTCACCACCTACCATGTCAATGTTCATATGGTAGAAAAGGAGCCACACTCTAGTCTGGGCCCCGTCTTGATCAGCTGAAGCCATGAATGGATGTCTATTTTTTTTTTTTCTGGCCACCTCCAAGACAAATAGGACAGAGGATGGTGGGAAAAAAAGGTGAGAAAAGAGAAAAAGATCACAGCCTGATCCCAACAGCTGCCAACCTGAGGGTTCCTTCCCGCCTAAAGAGGGCAACAGGAGCAGAGTGAGGATGCAGTCATGCCTGCCAGTGTGGCGCTCACCTGGGGAGGCTGGCCTGGAAGCTGTGGCTGAGCTGGGCGATGATCCGATCAACTTCTGCATATGGATGGGCTTCCAGGGCAAAGCCCCGGTGCCGGGCGCTCTGAAGATGCTGCCCGCGGGTGAGAGGAGGCACAGGGCATTAGACAAGGCTGGGGTGGGAGGCAAGCAGAGCTCCCAGTGTCCCCTGGCACTGGAGAACGTGGCCATGCCAGGGAGGAGACGAGGTGGGAAAGGCCCATCCCTGGTGGTCAGGCTCTCTCAGAACACTCTGGGGAGTAGCTGCTTAGTGGGGAAGGGGCTCACCACATGGAGCTCCTCAAAGGCCTCTTGGCAGCACTCGCAGTACCCTTTCTTCCTCCTGGGCACGGTGCGGGCGGCTGATCGCAGGCTTGGCTCTCGGTCCTTGGGTTCTCTGGAGAGGGTACAGAGTGCAGGAAAGTGGTCACTGCTGGGGCCCTCAGAGGAGGAGCTGCTGCTCAGGGCCTGGAGCCCAGGCCAGGGAGGGGAAGGACCAAGAGGGCCAAGGGGCGGGGCAGGCACAGGCAGGCAGGCCTGCTCTATACTTATACCAACTACCCAAGGGCAGCAGGAGAGGCAAAAAGGAAAATGAGACCTCCCTGTAGTCAGCCTGTCCTATCTCTATCCTCTCCTCACCCACATATCTTAAACCACAGGTAAACATGGGGTCTCAAAAAAACAAAAACAAAAACAAAAACCAAACAAACATGGTGGGCATGGTGGTGCATGCCTGTTATCCTAGCTACTCAGAAGGCTGAGGTGGGAGGATCACTTGAGGCCAGGAGTTAGAGGTTATAGTGAGCTATATAGCTATATAATCATGTCACTGCACTCCAGCCTGGGTGACAGAGTGAGACCCTGTCTCAAAAAAAAAAGATTCAAATGATCAAACATATGCAAACATACTCAACCTCATTCATAATAAGAAAAAATGAAAATTATAATTACATTGAGATACAGTTTTTAATCTGTCAGATTAGCAGAGGTCAAGTTTGACAGCCATAGTTTAGGCAAGGGGATGGAGAAACACACTCTCTCGTACAGTGCGGGTGAGAGTGTAAATTGGTATCACCTTCATGAAAACCAATTTGGTTGCATTTATCAAAATTATAAATGTAGGCTGGGCATGGTGGCTCATGCCTCTAATCCCAGCACTTTGAGAGGCCAAAGTGCAAGGACTGAAGAGGCCAGGAGTGCAAGGCTGACAGAGTGAGACCCTGTCTCTAAAAAACAAAACAAAAAAATTATAAATGTAGGTAACCTTCCTTTGACCCAGCATTTCTACCTTTAGGAATTTATTCCACAAGTATACTTGAATGTTCAAATCATAAATTTATACTCAACATGATTATGCACCGCAGCTAATCCAAGCATCCATCAATAAGAGACTGGTTAAATAAAATACAGTAAATAAATTCCATACAACGGAATACTCTGCAGCCACAAAAGGGATTAAGGATGCTCCTTAGTATTAACAGGAAGTTAAGACATATTAGGTAAGACAGGCGCAATGGCTCACGCCTGTAATCCTAGCACTCTGGGAGGCCAAGGCGGGCGGACTGTTTGAGCTCAGGAGTTTGAGATCAGCCTAAGCAAGAGCGAGATCCCATCTCTATTAAAAATAGAAAGAAATTAGCTGGACAACTAAAAATACATAGAAAAAATTAGCTGGGCAGGGTGGCACACGCCTGTAGTCCCAGCTACTCGGGAGACTGAGGCAGAAGAATTGCTTGAGCCCAGGAGTTTGAGGTTGCTGTGAGCTAGGCTGATGCCACGGCACTCTAGCCTGGGTAACAGAGTGAGACTCTGTCTCAAAAATAAAAAGGCATATTAGGTAGAAAAAGCAAGATTCGGCACAGTGAATATTATATTATTCTTTTTTTTCTTTTTAAGAGACAGGGTCTTGCTCTGGCTCTGTAGCCCAGCTGGAGTGCAGTGGTGTGATCACCTGGGCTCAAGTGATCCTCCTGCCTCAGCCTCCCGAGTAGTTGGGACTAGAGACACACACCACCATGCCTGCTAATTTTTTTATTTTGTAGAGACGTGGTTTCGCTATATTGTCCAGGCTGGAACTTCTGGCCTCAAGCGATCCTTCTGCCTCAGCTTCCTAAAGTGCTAGGATTACAGGTATGAGCCACTACGTCTGGCCTACATTCCCTTTCTTTTTTCCCTCCTGTTTGCACTATTTTCTGACCCATGGCTTTCATCTGCTGACGGAACCTACAGGCCCTCCTTGGCTCTAGGTACTCTTGGGCTGAGAGTCTGCCCCATTCTACTCTCCTGGTCTGTGAACTAACTCTGTGGCCCAGAAGTTAGAAAGGGTCCGAGAAGGCATCTAGTCCACCTGAGCTGAATTCCTTCTCTAATTTGGTTAGTGAAGGTTCAAATTCTCAAACATCTGCAGAGTAGTAACATTAACAAGCCAACAAGCCACCACAGGCCACACAATGCAGCAAGTCCCCTATTATTAATAGTTATTCCTGATGTTCAGACCAATAGTTCTCACACTTTGATGTGTATCGACATCACCTAAGAGCTCATAAGAATGCAGCTTTTGGGGTCCCATCAGAGATTCTGATTCTGTAAGTGTGGCTGGAGTCCAGGAACCTGTATTTTTTATGGGACCCCAGGGGACTCTGATGAAGGGGGTCTATAGATCCAAGTTTGAGAAACCAGCCTTTGCCCTCTGGACATTCAATTTAAATTCTTCAGTAGGGATGAAGACCACCACCCTGCAAAAAATGGATGAGCACCCCTAGTGTCTCTCTTCTCTGGGCTAAGTGCCCAAAACTGACTTCGCCTAAGGCGCAAACACATGGCCATTCCCAAATCTGACCAGCAGGCTCCCGAGGGGGAGGACTTTGGCCTGTAACCAGCCCTTGGTACTCAGGAACCAGAGAGACCCACCTGGTATGGTGTGCGCTGCCTCGGGTCGTCAGGGCCTCGAAGGGACTTGCATCTTTGGGTCCCAGAAAAGAAATTTCAGGAAAGGATTTAAACTGATGATGGAAAGGACGAAACTTCCTGAAACACAGAAAACTTCCACTTTGACTACAATGGGGAAGGGAAAGGCTGAGAAGGGGACTAGCCCAACTCCCCAGAATTCCAACCCTAATAAAGTGAACTCTCACCTCCACATCTCTTACGCTCTAAAACAAAATTCTCATTAGCCTTTCTAGGTTAAATTAATACTTGTGTTCTCCCTGCCTCCTTTTCAAACACATTTATACCCACTACCTCATTGGGATCCTACAAGCACCCTCTGGGCTAAGTGGGATAAGTGGTGTTAACCTATTTACAGGTGAAAGAAGGAATCCCAAAAGTTTCTGTGACTTGCTCAAGCGCTCACGACTGTAAGTGGCCAAGACCAGACCACACTCCAGACTCCTGGTCTGGTTTCTTCCATTTTCTCATTTTTGTTTCCTTTTTTTTTTTTTTGAGACAGAGTCTCACTCTGTTGCCCGGGCTAGAGTGCCATGGCATCAGCCTAGCTCACAGCAACCTCAAACTCCTGGGCTCAAGCAATTCTTCTGCCTCAGTCTCCCGAGTAGCTGGGACTACAGGTATGTGCCACAATGCCCGGCTAATTTTTTTCTATATATTTTTAGTTGTCTAATTTCTATTTTTAGTAGAGACAGGGTCTCGCTCTTGCTCAGGCTGGTCTTGAACTTCTGACCTTGAGCAATCCTCCAGCCTTGGCCTCCCAGAGTGCTAGGATTACAGGTGTGAGCCACCTAGCCCAGCCATCATTTTGTAGGTTTCTTGTAGGTTTCTTGAACCTACAACAACTTTTGAGGACTCTAGGCCTGGAAGACTCTAAATGGAAGAATGTTTAAACCAGAATAGTGATCATCCTGTTCCATGAAGGGAAGCATTTTTGCTCTAGGCTGGTCCTTGATGCCATTCTGAATGGAGGGGAGAGGCACAGTGAAGGTTCTGGATAGTTAGACCTGTACCAAGTGGTGTTGGCAGTTTGCCTCAAGTTGCAAATATTCAAGAGACTTTCAGAGCCAGAACTGTCGGTGTATACTTGGCAAACCCAGCTGACTGAGATAACTGCTGGGCACACCATACTTGGTTGCAATGGTCCGTACTCTGAGGGAGAGAGTGCAGGGCATGGGTTCTGGGGGAAGGGTGAGAGCCCTGTGGCCTCAGCAGGGAATTACAAATGAATCTTCTTGGACTCTTAAGGAGAAGGGAATGGGCTTCACAACCCTGGAGCTTCCCTTTCTTCCTCTTCAGTGATGTTTTGTTTCTGCTTAGGGGGCTTGGAACTTGAACTTGGTCAGGGAAATGGGCTTTGAAGGGCACTTGCTTCAAAACAGCACATGAAAAAAAAATCATAAGAAACCTCAGCTCCACTTGGATCTCCCCTCTGGCTTATGATGCCAGGAGCACACAAATTATGCACCTCCCTCTGGTGACAGTGATATGCCATGTGCAGTGCAGATACTGAGGCTGTGACAGTGTTTCTTAGCTACTGCACATGAGCCATATCACCTGTGTTAAACTAGTTGTGAAGGGGCTGGAGATTGAAGAACATGGACTCCATCCCACTGGAACTGGAAGGGGGCACCTTCCATATTATGGAAGTGAATCTGAGTCCGTCTGGAGGATGGGCAGGCATGTCAGGCTCTGGGGTCTGCAGCTGCCCTGCTGAGGAACACAGAAAATTCTGGCTCTAGTAGTCTCTGCTGGCTATATATGGACTTATTTCTTTTTTAAAAAATTTCTTATTTTGAGA